CCTTTTTTTCCTTCCAAACCAGGACATGCGTTTAGGGGGAATACTAGTCAGATATCATTGTCAATTTGACATGGTGGACATACAGTGATGCCACTAAGGTTGGAATCAATCTATTCTTGAAATGTAGGCGATCTCTATTTTGTTTGAATTAGGAATTCATTTATCCCACCGGAAATATTCAATACATTCTGGAGTCAAGTTGTCACAATCACAAAGCCGGTAGTTGCCATACAGGGATGTTGTAATCAACGTAATAACATACTTAACAGTAATGAAGGTGTTTAAAAAAAGCCACTGCTAATAGTAATTGCAAAACTGGCAAATCGTGTAGGGCACTTTTGTGTGATGACTCAGTCTTAATTGTCATGCAACTGTAAAAAGAAGTTAACCACTCTTCATAACAAAATGCTATAATGGCTGGGCAATACGACCTGAAAATAACTTTTTGTCACCCCAGGATTTTCTCTGCATGTTTCTCCTGATGTTTTTATTCCCATACTTAAACTTGTATTCATTTACTCAGGAATAATAGTATGTGGAAGTAAGAATTGACGTGCCGCCTCTTGGAAGAAAAAAAAAAACATCCTTATTATCAAAACATGTACTATATGTAAACATGATCCTATAAATGAAAATTTAAGACATTCATTTTGTGTTTTCTCATGCTCCCTCCAGCTTTCTTTTATAATGTAACATTATACAGGTGAGGCAGGTGACTGTAAAATATTAGTGGCTTGGAAGCACATACCTCAGGCCCAAACTTTCCAATATGACAACCAATCACTTGTCTTGGCCGTCGTTAGCGAGAATGACTTAAATTGGGCTTTTTTTTTTTTTTTTTTGCGACACACAAAACAATGTGAGAATGATTCCACTCGTGTTGGCTTTGCAAGAATTAGTCACTTTGTTTTGAAAAAGTAGCATCATAAGGGTTGGAGGTTACCAATGTGGCTATCAAGGCACCACACAAATCGCTTTCCAGTGAACATTTTATTCTTCTTTTGCAATGATTGTCGAGAGAACTGCATTACATAGAGTACCGGTCGCAGGGTTGTGCTTTCTTCCATTGCGTATTCTTTGCTCGCCATGGAATCCAGCACGAAATGATAAATGTCAGCCATCAAAGAAGTGAGTAAGATCGATGATACGATTGGCAGAACTTCACCGTCGTCCCTCGGCGCTTGTGCTGATGCAATCTTTTGCAAAAGCTCTTTTTGACAGGTGCTCCATTCTAGTCAATAAGAATCTAAGCTTCACTGTTTGTGACGGTAATGCACAAGCGCCCACGGACTTTTTTTACAAATGGGGGGGAAAAAAAAAAAATAAACATCTTGATTAATATGGCGAGAGTGCGCCGCTTTGCCTTTAAAAGGGAATAAAAGCTTCAACAAGCTCATCTCCACTCATTGGTAGGCTACAGCCACAATGAAAGGCTGAGTTACTTTTGAGGGATTATTCAATAAGCAGCCACGACAAGGAAAAGAAAAGAAAAGAAAAAAAACCACGTTTCACATAGCAAACTGAAATTCAGAAGGCCCGTTAGACAGCCGTGACCTTCCCTGGCCGGATGGGCCCTTGTAGCCAGGATTGTTTTTCTGCCCTGCTTAATGTGATGAACTGTCGCTGCACTCTTACCGATGGGCAGAAAGTTAAACAGAGGACAAATCGGTGGAGCGAAACTGCATTCACGGAGGGCAAGAATAATAAGATCTTCGAATTTATCCCAACCATTGTCCTCATGACACTGAAAACAAACAAACAAACAAACAAACAAAAACAAACCTCGGCAAAATTGGGCAATTCGACTCGCTAAGATTTGCTCTTGTGAAAATGTTTTTTTTCCCGCATTTGCCAACAAAGAAATGAGAGTTGACAGAACCGTTGTCCCTTGTATTGGCCACGCGAGTTAAAATATAACATATACTTTGTAAAGTAAAGAGAACTCAGTCTTGGAGCAAACAACTTGCTTGCTTTGTTGCTTGTTGTGCCAGCTAACCTTGTTGCCATAAATGTCAGTCATTCATATTTTCAAGTTGTTCCAATGTGAATGACTGTTTTACCCCCAAAAAAACAAACAAAGTTGTGTTTTCCACACAAATTTGGAGTTCAACTACATTCTTCTGGAAATTTACATTTCAAAAGTCATACAAGTGAAGTTTGGGGGCCAAGTGAAGTTACCAACCCAGTACTGACTCAGTTCAATGGCCCCAACTTAAAAAATGAACACGCTAACATAATTCTGGGCGCGGCTGTACTACAGTAAAGTCCACAGTCTCTGCTTTGCTGCAGCAACCCTTCTTCTCCTCTCTTGATCTCTTTCCTTGATCTCTTTGCACTTTGGCGCAGTTTCCACTGCTGTACCTCCTCAGTTTGGCATGACTGGACTTCCTATTAACACTTGAGCTGGAACTATTTTAAATCAGCTCTATTTCCAAGCACGCTAGGTCAAAGACACTAAAGGTGACATAAACTGATGGTCACTGATTTGTCAAGCAGATTTCGTCATTGCCAAAGTGACAAAAAATGCTTTCCTTTAGCTTTCCACATTCTTCACTTTGCTGGATGGACCACTTTAGTCTCTTGTCAAATGAAATTGACCTTTACTGTGGCCAACTGTCTCCAGCTGATGGTGCTGTACCCGTTGTACGTCGGAACAATTGCCTCAGGAGCCCCCATGCTCCTGAAATGCTCCTCATGCTCCTTGCTGTCGGAAAATAGCTATGCTGCGTTACGAAAAACCGAATCCCAAATCTCTGAGGCCCATTGTACATGAAATATTTATCAGAAATGAAGGAGCACGAGAATGGTGAAAACAAAACCTTGTGGACGCACGCAAGAGGATATTAAATAGGTATTTATAGACAACCACTGGGTAGAAACTAAAAGTGACGGGTGGTACCATGACAAAAATAGCCGTGAAGTAAAGATAAAAAAAAAAAAAATACACGAAAAAATAAGAGGAAAAGTACTTACTATGAGCAGGAGAATATTGGAAACAGTTTATGGTATAAAGAAATATGAACACTGTGTATGATGATGTCATGACAGTGCGTCATTCTCCTCTCAGATAAAACAACATGGAGCCGAGAGTTTAGAATGCATGATGGCACTGCGCTAATTGAAATACTTTTTATGCCAAAATGTGTCACGATGCCACTTTATTAACCAAAGCGAAGCATCCCAGGCTTTTTTTTTTTAAAACATGAATTCGCCGTGTCACTTTTGAAGGGTTTGAAGCCCGCCTTGGATTGAGAGAGAGGAATAGCTGAGCTGCAAAGTTATTTTTGTGCGTGACTCATTATGCAAGCCCGGTCTGCCGGAGTTCCCGACAGATGCAAAATGTCAGCGCTTTCAGGAGCGCGTGTTCATTAGGCTCTCTCGGCATTGACACACTGCGCTAAAGGCTCCAAAAAAGAGCGGTGTAGACCGAAATGTCGGAATTAGCTCCCATTTCCGAACCAAAGTTTTGACAAACTCAAAGGAAATGGCTTGTTGAGCAATACTGAGGTGACTTTATTTTTCTATCCGTGAGGGGTAAAATATTCAAAATGGATCTTGGTCTGACTTCATTTTCTGATGTTGCCGCTTTTTTTCTCCAAGAATGCAACTATATTCATCTGATAGTCAGACTTTTTTTTCCTGTGTGATGTTTAGATTTTTGTTTATTGACACAACACTTTTCCTCATATTTTGGGATGATTCCAACTTTTTGTTTTCTCATTATGACTCTCAGTATGACTCCTTCCTAAAAAATTACATATTTTTTCCATATAAAATAACATTACTCTCAAAACATCATTATTGTTAGACTAGTTCTATTTTTTCTCCCCCAAAAAATGACTCATCTTGTAATGTTGTAATATTAATATCATTTATATGTACATATATTTTTTTTACTAAAAAAAGCCAACTTATTTTTTCAGAATAGTCTCTGACAACATTATTCTCATAAATTTATGACATTTGCGTCTGTGTTTCTTTGTTTGTGAGTGACATTTCTCTTCTAATATTCTCTGTGTATGAATGAAAAAAATAATATATATATATATATATATATATATATATATATATATGTGTATATGTGTGTGTGTGTGTGTGTGTGTGTAGGCGGCATCGTAGCAATATATCTGTTGCAACGATGAATCCTATAGAGTACATATGCACCGCTTAACCATACATAGCCTGTGCGATAACTATCTCTTCCTCTTTGCTTCCATCCTATCTCAAGTCTGCAGTAATTACCCTGCCGGGCTGTCAGTCCGCATCTATTTACTGGAGAGGCTCTTGCTCATTGGTCGCACGGCCACAGTGTAACTGACAGGGTCAAGAGGGAGTTCCCTGGCATAATGGCTCATGTTGCGTGCAACGGCAAACGAGGTGGGGGCTGCAATTGTTTACTCGCTGTTGGGCAAGGTATTATTTGGGAACATATTTATCCAACTTGACGGAAAGAGCACCAAGTTGCCCGATGACTTGTTGATATCAACAAGAGGAGTTGTGATCAGAATGCTGAGATGCAAATAGACTGTGTGGGAACACTTCAGTCAAGTCACGGACCCATTTGATTTATCTTTGCAGCCTTCAGTACTTGGGATGCTTTCTTGCGTTCACTGCAAATGACATTTTCCATTCGCTGCAGAACATTCAGTTCGAGTCCTGTCTGAAAAAAGACAATAAAAAGGGAGGGAGGAGGCAGGTGTATGCTGGGGGTTATTAGGCCAGGTAAACATAACAGGGTTGTGTAACTCTGGCTTCTAATTCACTGACCTTTACCTTTTTACAGCCTGATGCATTCTAATAGGCCAGTGGATTTCCCCCCCCCCACACACACACACACACACACACTTACAAGGTTGTCAAGGAGATCAGAGCACCACAGTGCTCTTATGAGATCAACCAAAAAAAGCTCAATGTGGTATTCAATGTACACATATCAAGCACATCTTGTTAAGCTTCTTGCTCGACTCACACACGTGCTGTTCTTCTTTTTTCCTCAACAGCTCCCTTCCTGATAAACTGCGTGAGTGAGCCCTGCCTTTGTATTAGGAGGTTGCGCACACCATGCAAAAAAATGACCTGTCCGTGGATGACACCCAGCGGGACAGCGTGAGTAAAACACTCCTCGATCACTTTTTATGGCCTTCTGTTTTCACATTTTCTTTTAAGCTTATATAAAAAAAAAAAATCCTTCACAAAACCATTGTACAAGGGTATTTTTATGTACACATACAGTTCCCTCAGAGCTAAAATGAATTATTGTTGTTGCCTTCTAATTAAATTAAACTACCCAATTAGCGGGGAGCTGCATATTCACTTAATTGCAGACAGGTGGCGCTCTCTACTGGTTTAAAAAATGATTTTTAACTGGTATTTATCCTTTATGCCACAATTATTTATGACTGTAAGCCACTATTACATTATGCACAGTTAGAACATGAAAGAATTTACTCCGATAATGATTCGATGGGAATGCATTGAACATCCAAATCAGACTGTTGTTTAATAAAAGTTTAAAAATAAACATTTTCTTCAAGCAAATGTACTTTGTATGATATCATCCAATCTCCTCCATACACACGTTCTCAGTCTCCCTTTCCATGTCGCCATTAGTGTCACAAGGCAAAAAAAGTAGCGGTTCATAAGCCGAAAATGACGCAAACCTGCATTAGTTGGGATGATTAGGTAAAATGAATAAAAACTCCAGTGTTTTTGCTGAGGAGAAGAGGATTTTTTTTTTTTTTAAACCAAGATTTTACAGGACATGGTTCTGTTCACAAAGCAATCCATGCGGTGATGTTGCCCTCTGCAGAAAATCAGCCAGGAACATAACGTTACCTTCTCAGATGATGTCAGAGTTATCTCTCACTCACCTGTCTCGATTTAATAGACGTTTCTTAGAAGTCCTGATAAGCGCCGGACGGTTTGAGCGGCCATGTTTAACTCGAGCCGCAGCTTGCATTGACAAGCCGCGTATGCTACTGGCCTTTTCTTCTCAGGCATGAACAAGAAATTCGATTTTACTTGATAGCTCTCGACCCCCAGATGGAAGTCTTCCAAATGGGCTGACATGAGAGAGGAAATGCATCGGGTACACAGATGGCGCATTTCTCTCCGCGGGAAATACAGTAAAGGCGAAAACGGTAATTTGATGTGAAATGTAAATGGCGGAGTTTCCAATGCTGTCGTGTGTCTGTCGCATGACTTGGAAAGTATGAGTCACACAGAAAGACGAGATTGAAATGTCAAAACGACCATTACAGTCAGGTTATGATGATCCAACAAGTTTGGAAAATGGGGAAGGAGGGAGGGTGGGGAGGGGTTGCTGGGGGGTGGTGGGGGGGGTATACCACTTAGCCCCTCGAGCTTCTGGCTTTTCTTTTGATGAGAAGCTCAGGATCAATGGAAAAACAGATTCACAGCAACATAGTTCAATCATCGTTTTCAGACGGAAACAAATCTGTTCACACGGCCATTGTTATATTTTCACGTTTTGGTATTTTGGAGAGTCCAAACTTCTGCTTTCAGTGACAAACCAATTTTCAATGAGAAACGTTCCTCTCACTTTGTGATGATGTTTTGCGAGGTACGGTTACATTTCCACAAAGCTCACAGTGTCATGAGGACAATGGATTCATATTTCAGGGACAGCGGATACTACAGCGGACAGCTTACCATGTTATCAGGTTACAGGGTGCATGAAAGGGTTAAATTTGTCTTGCTGTTTATCTCCACAACAAAATGAATGGAGTAGTTGCGCTACAAAGTGGATATACTTGATTTGATGGATGGTTCTGGCGTCTCACGGCAATATTTGTTCTGGATCCGGTGTTCTAAAACATGTTTTCATTGGTTGTTTCGCTTCATACGGTACTTACTACTTCCACTGAAAAAGTTGTTGTTGCCAAAAGAAAACATCGAAAGTAAGTTTTAGTCTTCTTTGTGGTTTGGATTTGCCTCTGAGACAGCTTCTTTACATCAGAAGGATTTAAGTGAGGCAGTTCAGACCCCTGATTAGAACGCCATGAATCCAAAGAGGGAGATTTTCTAGGCACGTCCAATTGATAGGCACCCTGGAGGTGGTCCCCAAACACGCAGTGGGGTCGATACAGAACCTCCACTGGCCTCCCAATGACCTGACGTCTCGTACTTTTGAAGAAGAGTGCTTTCAACGGTTGCAAAGTTCTTGAACTTGTTCAACAACTAGTAATGAAGACCACTGTAGAAAAGTACAGAGGCTACTCAAGTAAATGCAAACTAAACATTTGAAGAAATAATAAAGCCAGGCTGGAATTTGCCAAAAAGTACAAAAATGAGCTTCCATAAATCTGGGTTTTTTACAGATTGATGAGGAAAACGACTCATCCTTACCGAAATGATGGAATGCCTCAAGTTTTAGGAAAAAAAAAGATCTCCTCATATTCCCAAACATACAAGCTCCTCCATCAAACGGTGGAGGATGTCGGCGCCTCTTGGGAAGCGGCTTCCTTATCTTCATTGACACTCAGAATTCACCGGAAACATTTTGTTTGCTAGTTTGAAGCAAGATGCAAACCAACTCATTGGGAGCACCTTCACTATGCCGCAAAATAACGACTCAAAGCACACCACCAAAAAACAAGCGGAAGGTCTCGTTAATCAAAGAGGCGTGGACATCAAGAGGAGAGGTCATTAACGGCATCAAAAAACAGCTTAGGACGCAAACACCGACGCCGTTCGTCAGCCCTACAGAGGTAGCGCAGGGATACAGGACTGCACTTGATGAACGCGTTCCCGCTCACGACGCTCTTGGGGGTGGCCCGTGCAATCAGCCGCGGCTACTGATGAATAGTCATGAGTCACCTTATCAGCATCGCCATAGCAACACAGATGCAACTGTAGCCCCTGTAAATGCGCCGAGAATATGGGCCAAATGCATCTGGCCGTCTCCTTCCTCACTTACATCTTGGTCGTGTATATAGCCAATCGCAGGGCACACAGAGGCAAACAACCATTCACTCTCAAAATCACACCTCGGGACAATTTGGAGTTCCTAATCAACCTGCCATGCATGTTTTTGGAATGTGGGAGGAAACCCAAGTACCTGGATTTCTGATACGCTTATCCTTACAAGGGTCGCGGGGAGTGGGGGGTGCTGGAGCCTATCCCAGCTATCTTCGGGCAGTAGGCGGGGGACACCCTGAACCGGTTGCCAGCCAATCGCCGGGCGCCAATCGCAGGGCACACAGAAACGAACAACCTTCCGCGCTCATGCTCACATCTTGGGACAATTTTAGAGTGTTCAATCCGCCTGCCATGCATGTTTTGCGAATGTGGGTGGAAACCGGAGTACCCGGAGAAAATCCACACAGACCCAAGGAGAGCATGCAAACTCCGCAACACAGGAAGGCCGGAGCCGGAATCGAACCCTGCACCTCTACACTGTGAGGTCGACGCACTAACCATCGGTCCACTGGGCCGCCCACACATATATTCTCACACACACACACACACACACACACTACTGCCCCGAAGACAGCTGGGATAGGCTCCAGCACCCCCCGCGACCCTTGTGAGGATAAAAAGCGGATCGGAAAATGGATGGATGGATAGATTTTAATTTAAGTCAAATGAAACTGCATTCAAAAAAATAATAAGTGTACTTTACAAGCACGTAAAAAGGCTGGAAGGCAGATGGGAGGAAAAGTGGGTGACGCGATATGAAATGAACAGAGCTGGGGAATTAGATTGAACAGCATCGGTGCAGGACAACATCATAAGAGAGATGGAAGAGTAACAGCTGCAGGAAATAAACAGTCATGATATGGAACAATGGAATGAAAAGGCGGATGATTCATTACAGCTTCTTTGCAGCTAGCGTGGCGTACTGACAACAGCGTGAAGAGCACTTGTGAGTGGCCATGGGCTAAAGTATTCAGGATATTGATTTTGTTGACATTGTGTCCATAAAGCGTGTATTGTGCACTTATAAATAGAATGCATTATTATTATTATTATTGTGATGTCGAAGTGAAGCAAAATATTTGGTTGCAGAAGGTGCAGTTTGTTCAGACCCATCAAAATGAAGAAGTAAACAGCACAAGAATGTGTTAAGTGAGGAAGAATTCTGAACCAAAAAGTAACTTTTGTTTTACCGAACAAGTCCGACTGGTGCAAAGTAACCTGAGTGAGGTTCTTCTGCCAAATAATGAATAAACTCATTTTTAACCAAAATTGTAAGAATATTATTTTTGAAAGAACATTCAACTTTGTAGTTGCTCGGTCATTCAATGAAAGACATTCCTTCTAATGACTATGCCTCAACTTGAAATCGATTCCACTTGAACCAAGGGTGGGCAATTAATTTTTGGGCCACAAACAAATTGGGAACGTTATCATAAATAGTCATGTCATGAAAAGTATATTCTTTCAGATGCAGATGTAGTGTAGTGTATATTTTTATTTTTATTTTTTTATGAGTGTTTGACACATTCAGCTAAGACACACCCACGGAATTTGAGAGTGGAGACATTGGCTTGATTTTTCACCATTTTGAAGCCTCATTTTATACGCTTGGCATTTTTTTTTTTTTGGAAGTAATTATTATTTGACAGGATGAAAAGGACTAATCGAGAGCAGAAATAGCGCTAGTCTTGAACTGCCATGAAGGAAGCCTTTATTTAATGACTCATTCGATGACTAATTGAGAGACGACATCTATTGTTATTTCAGGGAATACAGTCATACAAAAGTGCACCAGAACATTTTACGGCAAAGTAAACAGAGCTATCCGTGTTGTCCACATCAGTTATTGGCAGGCCAATTAATTTGTTTTGGAGCCACTGCTTAGCTACCTGCTTATTTAGTCATGAGAGTGGTAAGCAATCCACTGCATTTTTGAAACAATTCAATAAATTACTCGTCATGCAGCAGGGGATGATTATATGTGTCCCTTCCCTTAAGCTTGCCAAAATTCATTTAATGTTTTTTTGGTTTTTTTTACAGCTATCTGGTCCCCGAATGATTGATTATTTGTCTGCATACTCGCTTGACTACGCAAGCCGCGGATTCGTGTTGAAGTCGAGAGTTCAACAGTCCCGCTATTTATTTATTATTTAATCCCGGTCTAA